CGTATACGTATGTAAACTCACGTCTATAGCCAATACATAATGTACAAACTGTTTCGCGGGTTGGTGTAAATGTAAGTATTATACTTATAATAAAAGAGGGTATACAGTAATTAAAATTAACGTAAAAGTTGGTTTGTCTACTACAAATCACTATAGTCAGTTCTGAACCATTTTACGACTGTGGAACAGGGCTAAAATTTTGTGTTCACATTTCGTTATAATAATATTTATAATAAAAAAAATATATAGTGGTACAAATAATTGCTCTGAATGCGTGGGAATATTATGGCTTATCCATGAATTCAAAAAATATTTATCAATTTTTCGTACATTTTCAATAAAATTCTTTTAGACATTGTAACTTACGTCTTCTTCATTCTGTAATAATATTAACACACACAAACCACTGTTTCATAAAAATAATTCTAATAACGCCCTTAAAATACGTAATGCATTAAGTAGACAAGTAAAAGAGAAGATATTAATAGGAATTCTGATGGCTGTACATGCTTTTCGATAATACTTAAGCACCATCACGGATCCACAGGAATTTCAGTTCTTTCCCCAGTCCGGAAACCAGAAAGATAATGGTTAAGATATACTTTATGTTAGGTAGGTATAACATAAAGATAAAAATGTTTTTGGGACGTCGCGTCGAGTTCAATAGTACGTGAGGTATTTTAAAACGATAGTTGTGTTAATAAAACTGTAAAAATAAAATGCTTTGGGAAGTTTGAAAACGTTAAAAAGTTTTTACTGTCTATCAAGACATACCTAATAGACAATATATAGCGTTAGAGAGGAATTGTATTGATATGTATCTAGTTTGTAATTACTACTTGATTTAATTTAGAATGTATTACCAATCAGGTAAATATAGCTAGCATTTCATTGTTCTCTTTATAAAAAAAAGGCGGTTGTGCCATGTAGTTATGGATACATGTAAGTACTTTTCTGCAACATCATTGCGGTGGTTGTTGATTAAAAACCTACGTGCCGAGAGTAGTGTTTCAACTGGCTGATCGTAACTGTTCTAATTTGTAAAACTATTTTGTTGTTATTGAAGTACGTATTTATGCATTTGTTTGTGAAATTTTAAATGACAAAATAGATCCACGTTGGTGTTTGTAGTTGCAACATGTACTATCCGAAGAGTTAGATGGACCAGTCAATTCTTCGACTGTGTCGTAAGTTACCATTGAGTTGATAGGATAAGGAATGCATTTTTCCCAAAATATTTGCACACAGCATTTGGATTCACTCATTCACACCCGGAATTTTCGGGGGTGTATGTTTTATTTGTTGAAGTTCCACAGTACTCCAATTGGTGTTCTTGAAGCATTCGGATACACAAACAGTATCCGAATTCTTTTTGTCAAGTGTTTTGTTGATGTATGATGGCTTATAGTTAACTCATTAACTTTCAGTTATATCAAGTCATTGGAGTGAGTTGACTTCGGCCTTCAACCCTCGGGTCTGTTCTTTGACGTCTCGTATTGTTCAAATGCAATACGAGGTTAATAGACTATCAATTACACATCAAGGAAGGCATCGTTATTCGATCAATTGGCATCAGCTGATGCGAGATTTGGTTGGAAAGCACAGAGTTATTTAATTTTGAAATGCTCCAACCAACCACCTGATGAAAGCTGAATCCTTTATTAAATGTTGAAGATCAGTGAAGATCAATATTTGCAAATAACCACTATAAGGTGATAAATTCTATTTGTCAGAGATGAACAAACCTCCTACTGGGAGCACATCTTCATAGATGTCATTTACTGACCCCTTTGTGGTTATTTATTAATCTCTTCTTTCTGCCTTTAATTCTGCACACAAATTAGCAAACACATAGGTATATTCCACCTTTACAGCAACATGCTAAACATTGGTGTTAGTTTAGGAACTAAATTCCTTTTTGTTCCCACACATTAGCTTTGATTCTGGGCGACTCTAGTAGCACAAGGAGAAGAAATGGAATCTGTTTGCTGACTTCGTTTTCGTAGAACAGAAAATATATCATCATTTAGTGATAATCATTAAACTGTGTCAACGATAACGACACTAATTACTTTTTGTTTTGGTTTATTTACTGTAGAAACCATAGAAACGCGAAAAAAGAAAAGCGCGAGTAGTGTTTCAAGTTTATTGGCATGGAAACGCTTATCTTTATTGCAGATTTCGTAAAATGTTTACTGATATCGCTCAGTAATTTACGATTCCCTTTCAGAAAATGCGTTTTATGACTGCGATAAACTTCTCGCTTGTATCTTACATAAACATAATCATTATAATTTTTAACGGAATTGAAAGGTTGCAGTGAGCAACAAAGATGATGTGAAGTTTCTCAGGAGTCAACTAACACAAGATTTCGGAAATAACTCTTCAGCATTAAAATCAACTAATTGTCCAAATTTGAACAGATAGATGGTACAATTGCCGATGGCGCATGACACTTTCATAGATCTCATCATCATCATCATCATAAGATTTTCAGCCACAAGATTGGTTCTTCCGATCTTCAGCCAATGAATGTATCAAAAATCAAAGCCTATTACAAAACGTCATTCAATAATTTGTTATGTAACACTCGTGTTTTTAATGGTATTATTCATATCAGATGTTGTCTTCATTCTATTGAGTGATCTGATTAAAAATGGTTGTTTAATAATACTTTTCTGAATGAATAAATTTAGATAATTTCTGTATACTTAATGAAAACGGAAATTACTTAACAAATAATACTTAACAAGGTAATTTTCTGGATGAATACCTTCATTTGCTAGATTCGTAAATTGGATTTCATTCGTTAGTTTTTCCAAAAAGGTTTCCACCAGTTATTTATTTTCTTTTTCAAGTCCGACGAATGGTTTTGAAAATAAATTTTTTGTTTAAGCAATATGAGTAATTGTGTAAGTAACTCTGTATATGTACATATGATATTGTTGATAACCACACTGACAAACAATGGAAGTCAATAAAAAAATTGTTTTCTTATTGTGATCTTTCTTGATTATAATAGTTTCGAAAACAAGTGTTAAAATCTTTCAACATATTCAGTTAAACGTAGCATTGCTTTAAAGATGGCGTTTAGCCTGTCGTTTGTAGGATGTCATAAAACGCTGTGTCAAATCAGCAGGTAGAGTTAGTTAGTCTATGTTCTGATGAAGCTGTTTGCGCTGATGAAATCTAACAAAATCGAAATCGCGATCCGATCATTTGTTCAAGAACTTTATCACGTAGATAGTTGCACCATGGACTCAACTTGAAAAGTGGATACCCTCAACTGAAGAGGACCTTGTCAAACGTTATTGAATCTCACATTTACAGATCCGTGTTTTACATATGGCGTTGCCATTTCATTTTGGTGGAGGTGCTTTCCAAGTCGTGGAAATTGGAATTTTATTTTACCTTTTGTCGCTCCAACAGTAAGAATAATTGTTTTGTTTTTCATAAAAAAGATTAAATAATTCAAGTAAAAGATAATGGAACCGGCTTTTTCAGGTAAGATCAACGCTATACGTTTTATTGATTCATTAAACTAAACAAAATTATTTGCGATAGGATTACCTATCCATGGATGATGTTGACGATAGCAAATAATATAAATTGCTTAAAGTGACTAACAAAAGGATTACATTGTAATAATGTTTTTGTTTGTTTCAAGTTTTTCTCATCGATTAAGAAGCTTTTACACATTTTTGATGCCACACAACATGATAACCATCCAATTGTTGAATTGCTAGTTACTGTTTAGACTCCAAAGTTGCAGCTTTCTATTGGTCTCGAAAACCTTTGGACTTGCATATAGTGTCAAACTTTCTAACAGTATTAACAACTTCATTACAAACTAATTACTATAATTAGAGGTCTCACTTCTATATGAACCCTTGAAGATAGATTTGGAATTCCAAAATCCAAACCGCTCTCTTTAATATATTAGTTTCAAATATTTTCTGTTACCAAGTTACACTTTTAAACCCTTCTCATTCTTATCTTCTGAACGTTATTTACAAAGAAAAATAACTGATGACCAGTGATGTTGCAGTTTACATTCTGCATGACGGTAGTAGCCACTTCTAGTTGGTCTGCTTGTCTTGCTTTTAACTTTACAATGGTTTGACTGGAGATCCTGAGGCAGTAATATTCTACAGATAATCTTTCACTTTTGCCTCTCTCCTAGTCAGTGGAAGAATGGTGCTTCTGGCGTGGAGGGGTTTCCAAATTCCCAAGAAGCCCTTTCCATTGAATTCTCAAACAAGTATAAAAGCGGCAGTTTAAACTGTGGAATGAGCGGCATGGTCTAGAGGTTTAGACCATTGCTTAGCATTCGGGAGGACGCCGGTTCGATTCCGGGTCCGTCTGCCTTGGTCCAAGTTTTTCTGTGATTTTCTTGGATCAGTGAGGCACTAATATTCCATAGATAATCTTTCATTTCATCTTTCTCATCCAAACCATCACCCATCCATTCTGATGAATCCTGAAAGGAGGCTGAAGAGGGCATCTCGTCCTACCTTCCGGCGTAGTCCTGAAACACTCAAAAATGTTTTTTCTGTGGAATTGCAATGGAATACTCGAGTATTTCAATCGGCTTCATGTCGTTTTGCCACCGTTGTTCCAACCACCATCGGCCCATTCTCACAAATCCTCAAGGGGGGCCAAAGGGTTTCGTGTCGCCATCATGCACTCATTTCCTCGATGGGATGGGGATTGAATGTCCGACTTGCCAGGGTATACCATAAGTTTAGATGAATCTTCTGACGATGCTTATCGATTTTTGGAATCGTTCTTCTGCAGTGGATGAAATGAAGGCTGCTGCTAACGACTGGGCTGTTGCAGGTCGCGGGTGTGCGTGAGTTTGAACTGTTCATCACGTTGGCTATGCAACTGACTATATACCCTGTCATTCTCATTCTGTAATAGCCAGGCTATATACTACATAGCAGCGCCGGTTGTGGCGTCACTTTTTGTGATAGCATCGCAGCAGCAGTCGTAGCCATGGCTTCGTGAAACTGCTGATTGTAGAGGCGGCCAGAGTCAGTCACAGTATAAGCGTCAGTTAGTTGTTTTACGATCCTGGCAGAGTTCGGTCGTTTTCAAGTCGAACCGTGGAGCGAAACAGTTCGACGCAAAGTTTTTATTTAATAATAAAGTTGTTTATTTTAGTTTTGAGTGTGTTCGTTCGTTTTCTTTGTTTCTCGGAGTTCAGTGCTAAGTGCGAAATAGCAAAAAAAAGGACGATTGGAAATTGGGATTATAGTATACTTATATTGTAAATCATACGCCTATGCTGATTTATTTATGGTGAGAGTTTCAATGCTCTTTTTTCGAATTCGTATACAGGATTGATTGGCTGATCTGATGTCGTATTTCTTTTTTTTTTGTTTAGAAAATGTTTATCCTTGATGAAATGTTTATTATGTTAGGAACCGTTTGATACAAACAACATATGTATTTGTAATCATGAGGAAAGGTTGGTTAATCGTGTACAGTAGCGCACGTCTACGAAACAATAACAATTAAATGACTTGTACTACATAAATATGCAGTGGAATATTTCATTGAAGAAAAATAAAATTGTTTTGGTTAGGAAAAATTTGAACGCGTTTTTCGTGTTCGTGTATGTAGGAGCTTCATTGTGATAAAAAAGCTCATTAAATTCGCTCATAATTAATTCAGTTCTTTTAGTTGAAGAAACGTGAAGATGCCTATCAAATATTAATTTGACAATTTTAAATTGATTGAAATTTTAGTCGTCGATCTGATGCATTTTCTGCATTTAAGCCCATTTGAAGTTCAATTACATTGGACGGCAAGCGCCTCCACCAAAGGCTTCTACTAGTAACTAACATGAAGCAAACTGTGCATTAATTAAATTTGTTTTTTATTTATTTTCGGTAATTAAGTAGAAAATACAATGGGTAGAACAACAGTTGGAAATTTTCAAAACGTTATCGCGTATCAAATGAGTAATACGTAATAAGTTTCCAAAGGTACAAAAAATATCGCGTCACGATGTGGTAATAGGTATAATTTTTGTTTTTTATTTGAAAAACAAGATGAATAAAGTTGTCGTTATTTGTGTAACGTTTGGCGCCGCTTTTCTTATCATTCGCGTGGTTAACATTCTTTTATCACAAAAAAGAGGCATGTTTGCAGTGTGTATGCGATCGCTGCGTTCTGGAATAATAATATGAAAACTTTTGCTTCGGATAAACTGATATTGTAATACACTATATGCACATAAAATAATATCATAATTGTCGCTGTACCACGTGGTATTATATTGTTGTTATCTTGCTTCTCTTCTGTGATAAAGACAATGTAACATACAAGGATGTTCCTAATAAATCAATATACTCAGATATAAACAATACCATTGTACATAGATATATCTCCAAGTACCGAATAGTGCGTTGTTTTAATTTGCCCTTAATTACATACTTCATATTGTTTGTAAAATTTAAGAGTTAATGCGTACTTGATCGTCATTATTTTTGATTTGCTTCTGTAGATATTAATATTGGAAGCCTTCGGATTGTTTTTAAGATATGAAAGAAGCATGGCAGAAATTCCAAAAAGAAGAATTATTATCTACTACTTTGTGGACATATCATAATTATATCTTCATTAAAATAGATTCTTTGACTTTCTAAGAATATTAAATGACTTTTTTTTCTGAGAAAGAAAGCAGGTTTGTACTTTCCGATGTTCTTAAAAGTCTAAACTTCCTGTGTTTCTGATACCATCATAAGTTCGTTATCAAGTTTTAGACTTTTAGGAGTACCTACCTGCAGGTAAGGTATAAGCTGCTTTCTTTCTGAGAAAAACAAAAGTCATTTCTACCTGTTGAATGAACCTTACCGAAGTTGTGGATATAGGTGGACACAATATATATGTAAATTAGTCGCACAAGAGGGGGTGGCTGACCTTAGCGGAGCCTCAAGCACCCGGCGACTGACTCAACCTCCTGTGCTTTTTTTTCTTGTTTCTCTCGTTCTTGGGTTTGATTTGTAACGGCTGTGAACTTGACACAGACTTATAAACCCAAAAATTATGCATCACATAACACCCAAGACTTAAAACTCGCGTTTACCTATAATACGGTCGTATAATATATAAGAGAGCCATTGTCGACGCGAACGAAAAAAATTATTACTGTCCGACGATTTATCGAGCGGATTTTCGGCATCTCATTATCATAATTTTAGGTTGCTGCTTGGAAACGACCAGATTCGTTTTTTTGTTTGCTTCGTGGCTCATTATTATTGCGACCAATAAATTGGACATAATCTGGTTAGAACGTGCCAAACCTCTTTTGCCAGAGGCAAAATAATGTTCCTATTATTCCTTTATCAGTGAAAATTTTGGGACTGTCTTTTCTTTGAGTATCTTTACTTGCCGAAAAATGTTCCGTTGTCTGCGCATCCAGATACAAAGTTAAAACAGTTAAAAAAAAACAAGGAAGTAGACGGAATGTCGTTGGTGCTTCGATTGGCTGGTATCTCTGGTGTTTTGTAATGGTTGTAAACATACGTTCGTGTACGTGCAGACATCTTCCTCTTTCCAAATCTCTATCCATCGCATTCGATTCTGAACTTGTGCCAAGTTTGGTGTTTCGCCCACATTAAGAACGACAGCCTGCCACGCCGAAATGACGCCTTTAACTGATGCCGCTTCGAACGCTGCATCTTCTTCCACATATCCTATTCCCATCATCCGTCGTCATTCCTTGGAATGAAACGGCAAACGGATGTGGTAAAACCGTTTTGGGGCAACGCCATTAACGTAACACTTTGCTCTTGTGCGCTTAGGTGTTTTCCAGACACTGCCCTTTCTAACTGTTGTATTTTTTTTAATGATACACATCATTTTAGTCAACTGCTGCTGTTGTGGGCATGGTTCTGACAATTCTGGTTCCGTTACTTATATATATTTTAAGACGTTTACAAAAGGATGCGTTATTGTACTTCGAGGGTTGTATCAATCTCAAATGGTTTTCAAGGATATTGCGTGTGGACTAAACAGGAATTTGTATAGTGAAAAAATTTAAGATTACAATCTGGACTTCAAGTCGTCTACTTTTAGTGATCACGTAAAGTAATTCGTGAAAATTGGCTTTGGCGTAGATGGAAATTCATTCGAATTATATTTTACTTGCTTTCAGTTGAACTATTTTAAACAAATGTTAGTTTAAATGTATTTCGGAAAATGCGTTTCATGTAAGACTAATGTTTACTTTTAGGTCGGTCCGTTTTGTTCCAGTTAATCGAGTTTTTGATAATTTTTCAGAAACATTAATTCTCTATTTTAATAGTCATCGTTACTAAGCAATTTCAGGTAGTAATTTTGAAAAATTGATTTCTATAGATGATACCACGTTTTGTTGCGGTATTTATCAATGAAATAAATCTCTACCTGGAAAAACTTCAGTATTTAACACATACAAATGTTAAAATTTTCAGTAAACAAATTCGTAAAATCGGATCCTGTGTATTTACATAATATTTTTACCTGTTCAATTCTGTCTGATGCATTTGAACAAAGTGACTTCTTATTTTGTCGTTTCAAGGCTTTTAAAATACTGTGTGTTTCATGTATATTACAGCTGATAAACAGAAATGGGCTAATTAGGGGTAATAATTGGTTATATGTGTATATCGTTAGGAAGGATCCGTTGATTTCAAATATGTATAATTAGGAAAACGTTTTTCATCCATAAGGTTGCAGTCATCATTTTACATGAATGTAGAAGTTGATTATGCTCGCTGATCAAGTAGATAACTGTTTCGGATCTGACCCACAGTAACTGTAGTTGATACGACTATCAAAATATAAACTTTGACCTCTAGTAGGGGACTGTCTATTACTTTTAAAAATAGTGATCCAGTGTGTAGGTGGGTACACGATCATCATAGGATCATTGGTGCGAAGACTGGTTGGAGACCTTCCATTCCTTCCAATCCTGAGCCAATCTTCTCATTCTAATCTACGTCTTCCTCTGTCCCTCCTTCTGGTTCTACTTCTAGCATGTCTCTACTGAGGTCTCATGACTCAGATGGCGTCCTATTCCCATCAATCCTTATACATATATTGATTTCTTTGTACTTCTAACTCTTTCCACCTCATTTCTATCTACAGTATTTTCATCTTCTGATGTAAGTTATGTGTGGTGCCAGTATCTCGCCTCTCCATTCATTCGCTGAACATTTTGAGGATAGATTTACTCTAAAATGGGTAAAGGAACCATCATTTAGTGAAAAACTATAACCCTTACATTATTTTTGTATGGCATTCCTATTTCGAGATAAGCTATGTGTGCTATCGTCTTTCGCTGTACTGTTTGAGAAAAGATTAGCTACAATTATCATCAGGAATCATCTTCTAGCAACAAATTGTAGTTCTTACAGCGAGACTCTTTAAGTTCTCAACGTTTTTTGTATCCTGGCTTATCTGACCTCCTATAAATATCCAGCATCGGCAACTTCTAGTTTTTGATTTGCAAACTCTAGCCCTACTTGTTATTTAGAAAAGAATTTCTAATGAATCGTAAGTTATTCTGTGAAAGTTTCTACCTACACAGTTAGTACTTTGGAGTATGAGTATCATTTTGACGTACTTGATCGATTTCGATTTCTTATTAGGTACTTGGCGTGAGTTTCACTTTCTTCTTCCTGGTAATAGTAAGATCTGTCAACACACTACTTTGTCATTAATTTACTCACTTGGGCGTCAGTATGTCGTCCAATTAGAAATCAAGTGACAAATCCAATGTTAATAATTTAAGTATCTACATTACATTAATTCCATACGTTCGTATGCATCAACCGTCGCAATATCTCCATTTAAATCATTTAAAATTCGATAGCATGTGAAAATTTTTCAGATTTTTAAAGCCAAAATTTAATCTTGATAATGATTAATGATAAAATATGGGCAGAATAAGTATCCAACGTAATATATTCAATGGCGTCATGTCATGCATATTTTGTTGTTTCAATAGAAGTGAAAGCGAACTTCATCGAAAAATATTTACAAGAACTTCTTGTTTCTTAATTATTCTAAATTCTTATTGATAATAATTATAATGAAAGCTATTTACAGCGATTACTCTATTTGTAAATTCGGTACACATATAATAACGATATAATTTTACATTATTGGTCGGTATTGTGTGATAACCCTGATAAAAACATTCGTATATAACGTCTTCTCATGTAGCGACAATTACAGCTTTACCGATGTAACGTGGCCGTTTTTAAATCCGGATATAACAACTTTGCGGTGATCAAATCATGTTTCTA